CCAGACGCCATTAGGAGTTTCTTCCAGCACATGTAGGCAACCTCTTCCCCCCCCCTTCCAGCTACCTACAAATCCAATTAAGAGACAATAGCTCTAGCCTGATGATTCATCCAGGTGCCAGTCTCCAGATCAAGTTTCTAGCTCTCAATATTGACCACTCCTTAGCCACCCCTCCCCTCTTCCAGCCAGCCAATAGTATGTTTTATGGGACGGACTTACAGGAAGTGTCACAGGGGGATGTGGCCAGCCTAGCCAGCCCCCCTACACCACATTATAAAAGATACTGCCCGACCACATGGTCTCGCTCTTACTTACCCTCTCCACGACCCCTATCGAAGCTTTAACCCTCCTATGTCCAGCTTACTATTCACATACCCTACCTCCATCTTTAACCTCTAGTCTGCAGCTAGAGTCCATGTGGTTCTGCTGGTTCGGAGCACGTGTTCACCATTTTCTATTTCTAAACCCCTCCATTCTTCCGTTGGAACGGCTCAACTAATGAAGACAGGTAAATATTGCCCAACCAACAAATATCCTGCTAAAGCAACTGCGTTAAGGATCTATCTTTATTTCCTAGCATATGTATAAATGTGTGTGTGGTTGTGTATTGTTTGAATGATATATATCTCCCAGTAAAGAAACATTATATTTCACTAAATCCAGTCTCTGTGTCTGTTCAGATACTTACAGCAAAGGTGGGACTTCTGTATACACTGGTGAGGACCCGAATTTGCTTACTGCCAATTAATAATCATAACTTCACCTAGACTAATTAATAATTAAAGGCAATTTGGCTAACAAGTTCCCCTGGTAAAAATGGATCCTTTGGAGGGTGGACCCTATGGCACTGTACCCCCCCTGAGGTCCCTGTCCTTCCCAGGCTCCACCCCCAAATCTCCAGGGGGGACCTGGCAACCTTTACCTCATTCTTTATCAGGAGTTAGTGGGAATGTGCATATTACAGAAATTTTAAAAGCACTGTGCTGCCTATTTGATTCCAGACCCAATTCAAAGTGCTGTTTATTAACTATTAAGCCCTCACAGCCTTGGACCCTCATACCTGCAACTCTGTCTCTCCCAATATACTCCAGTACCCCAGCATCATTCCATAGATCAAAGCCTGCTTAAGGTACCAGCAGGTATGTCATCGTCGGTCTAAACCACGCTGGTTTTTACGCAGTGGTTCCTGTATTTTGTAATGACCTTCCTGAATATGTCAGGAAGACCTGTGCATTGCTGGCATTCTACCTGAGGAACAGCCATGAAATTTGCTCTTAATTTTGCTGTAAGCAAACGTTTATGAGTACTCTGTTGATCATTACCAAAAATCCACTTCTGTAATTCCATAATATCTCATGTTCACCAGCTACATGCAGGATAGTTAATAGTCCCCTGGGATTCCTGACAATTCCCACATTTTCATTATTTGCATTTTAAAAATTTTGTAAAGTGCTTTTCTATAACATTCAAAGTAGTATACAAGCATCTACCAAAAACAAATTAACGCCAATTTGTGACCCTACTGATGGGACAGAATCAGTAGCTCAGCTTCTCCACCTACCAGTTTGCAGCCCTGATATCATCTTTATCACTGTTAGAAGCCAAAATAGACAAAGGATATCAATTCACTGTATTCTTAACTGGCGTTTAATAAACCTCAATCCCTTTAAAACTACAATTATGAGACAAAGACATAAATTACTTTAGTTCAACATTGTCTCTGTTCCCCACATTGGTAATCCCAAATTATTGTAATAGATACATTCAGCTGCAGCCAGCCAAATTTTCACTCAATATCACTTAATCCCCCTCTTTATCCCACCCGTGACCCATATGGCTTTTCTCCAAACATGTCCCATGATAGCCAGCATAGCCTTTTTGGTGGTCACCAGTGGAAAAGCTGACTGAATCCATGTAGGGTTGCCTGATGCCTGGTGCCAGCTAGGGAACCACTGCTGCTGCTTCCCACCCCACCCCTGCTGGGGGGCAAATGGAGGAGAAGCTAAGAACTCAGAAGTGATGTCACCACAACTCTGTAGGAATTTCCCTGATGACTATGGTTTTGACCACTGTGGTTCAAGGAAATCCTGGAGTGTCTGCATGCTGGGGCGACATCTCTTCCCCACACATAGCCAGAAGTGATGCTGCAGCATTGCATGATAACATTTCACCATGCCTCCGCCCTCCCTGCTCTCCTACAAGTTGCTGGTACTGGGCTGACAACTTTAGATCTAAACATTTCAGTAAACCATATCATCAGGATCAAATGTTCTCTGTCTCTCTTACAACAAATTTAGAGTCCAGTGGCAACTTTTAAGACCAACAAAATTTTATTCAAGGTATGAGATTTCATGTGCATGCATACTTTTTCAAATACATTGGAATGGTGGGTAAGAGTCAAACTTACAGACGGGGGGCTGAACAGCAAATTAACATGTAACATGATGAAGATAAGCAAAGACAAACTAAATAATAAGTTAAGGTTATAAGGTCAACAGTTGTAAAGCAATAAATATGTCAAAATAGCACCTGGGACCAGAGCTTGCAATAAACCAGATGCCAACTTTGCTGCCACATACACCCAGACAGCACAATCACTGGACCTAACAATATCAACTACACCATTATTCACTTGCTCATCTTCTAACATTGTACTTGCCATTAAATGTCAACAATGCCCTTCGGGTTGGAATCACAAGATTGAAAAACCTGTAGAAGAACACTTCATCCTTCCAGGACATTCAATGGGTGACCTCAAAGTAGGTGTTTTATTATAAAGGAACTTCAGAAACAGAATGGAAAGGGAAATTGCTAAATTACAAATTATTGTAACACTTGGAACAAAAACCTCCCCAGGACTCAACAGGGATATTGGTTTCTTATCTCATTACATATGCGAACTCATTCAGTCCTCACATAAGTATTCTCAACAAGAAGGACTGTACATGTTCTGTATTTTAGTGTATTTCTTTTTCAGAATAGTATATTAGAATACTGAATGTAATGCAAGGAATATTGGGATGTTTTGCTGCATCCACCTCAAAAAAATAAAAAAAATGCTGTTACGTGACCTCCACATTTGAGAGAATGGAAAGTATCAGTTTATTTCACACAATTAGAAAAGATACCTTTACACATTTATCTGCTATTTTGACATATTTACAATAGTCGACCTTATAACCTTAGCTTGTTACTTAGTTTGTCTTTGCTCATCTTCATCATGTTACATGTTAATTTGCAGTTCAGCCCCCGTCTATAAGTTTGAACCTCCCCTACCATTCCAATGTATTTGAAAAAGTGTGCCTGCACACGAAAGCTCATACCTGAATAAAACTTTGCTGGTCTTAAAGCTGCCACTGGACTCTCAATTTGTTCTTCTGCTTCAGACCAACACGGCTGACCACCTGGCTCTGTCTGTCTTATTTTCATCAAATATACAAGAACTGCTCAACCATTCCCATCACTGACTTACAAACATTTTACCTGAAAACTTGTGGCTTGAAGGAATGCATATTTATTTTGTTTAAAACATTACATCCCAACTTGTGCTACAGCATACCCCCATCCAGCTGTTTACACCACATCAAAAATGTATTTATTTACTATATTTATAGTCTGCCTTTTGCTCCAAGACTCAAAGCTGATTACACAGTTTAAATAGATAACAGTTCATATAAAGAGGCATCTAATAAGCACAGATGGGTACAGCCAGTATGAGGAGTAGGGTTGCCAGGTGAGGCCAACAAACGAACACAGGACTTACCAGGAGGCTCTGGGAGAGGGGAGGGAGGCTCTGGGAGAGGGGAGGGAGGCTCTGGGAGAGGGACTCTGAAGCGAGTTCTGGGTGAGTTGCCGTCCCATTTGAAGGGAACACGCTCCATTTAAATGCTTTCCCTCCATTGGAAATAATAGAGGATAGGGGCACCTTCTTTTGGGGCTCATAGAATTGGACCCCCTACTCCAGTGTTTTTGAACCCGGGGGGGGGGGGGGTTGAGGAGAGGCACCAGCAGCTATGCTGAAAATGTGGTGGCTTTAACTCAAAAAACAGACACCCTTCCCAGAGCCCCAGATAACCATGGATCAATTCTCAATTATACTCTATGGGGACTGGTGGAGCGTCCAGCAGCTATTCCCGTCCCCTGCTTTCTGATAGCCCTGAAGTGGGGGGGGGAGGCTTCAAACTGGGGGATCCCCTGTCCCCAGCTGGGGATTGGCAACCCTAATGAGGAGACATCAATAAGCTATGCACTACGAGTAAGATTACCGAAATCTGAATGACCATAGCATATCAAGCATGACACAGAGGGTCGATATAATGAAGAAAATGGTATTATACCAGTAGAAAACAATGAGATGGCAACAGGGTAATATATGCAGCAAACTGATAATATGTCTATACACAGTGGTATTCCACAGTCCTTTCCCTCTATAAAGTACCTTCCTGAACTATTCCATTATAGTGTAGCCTTATTAACTTAAAAAAAACCCTCTTATATATAATTTAATTTAACAAAAATCACTCATTAACCTTCTAATTCAAACTCGAATTCAAAGTCTCCTTATATGCAATGAGAATCTAACAGCCTGGTCCAAGTTTACCCAAGGGTCTCTGACATCAGAGCAACTGAGTTAATGCAGATCACCGTGGATCAGAGTGGCTATGATCTCTCTGCATTCCAGGGCAACTGTGACATCATAGCAGATCGGCCAATGGTATCAATAGGTGCAGGGTTTGAAAAAAGATTAGAAGACAAGAAGAACATTGCAAAAGTAAAAAGGTCAAAGTAGGGAAGTACATTGCTCTTATGATACACATATCAAAAACTTATACACGTGTAATTTTTAAAAAGACTGAAACAAACCACTGAAACCAAAAGCTGACATTCGGATTTTGTTAAAAGTTGTTTGTCTCCCTTACCCACCCACCTACAAAAGTCTTAAACTATGCTCTTATTGGTATGAATACTATCATCATCTTCATGATCTCAGATATTCCTACCTGGTGGACAGTTGCATCGCTGGCGGACGTCTCTAGTTTCCCGATGTCTTGGCAAGCTGAATTTTAATCTCTGTAAAGTAGGGGGGAAAGCTACATTAATAATGATGAAACCTAAAACCCATGCATGTGAAAATAGCTTTTTAAAGGAATTCAGCCTTGAACTACAGTGACTAACAGGCATCTCGTCCTTGGTCAAAGTCAGACAATTGCATTCAACTTTAATCTCAACATCCAACTGATTGGAAACAGGCAGAGCAAATGTTATGGAATTTCTAAATAAGCAGGGATTGAAAAGATAACTGTCTGCTGTTGCTGTATAAAGAGGCTATTTTTCGTACCAGAAAACTCCAAGTGGTGCATAAAATAATGGCTAATTGAAGCATATGGTGGGAGGGAAGGGCAATCTTGTTGAAGGTAATACTTCTCTTCCAAATATAGCAGCCACATGGTTTAGACCAAAGGTTCCCCACCTTTTTAAGCCTGTGGGCACCGTTGTAATTCTGATACAGCATGGTGGGCACAGCCACAAAATGGCTGTCAAAAATGGCTGCCAGAGAAGGTGGAACCAGCCGTGCAGCTTACCTTCAGTGGCACAGTGAAGATTTTATTTATTTTATTTTATTTATTTTTGGGATTTATATCCCGTCCCATCCAATATACAGCTCTGGGCGGCTAACAAACGGCTAACAAAGATCCTCATGTTGTGGTGGCAGCAGCTGCTGAAACAACTTTAAAAAAAAACATTGCACAGCCAATCAAATCTCCAATGGCCAATCAGAAGCCTTGCTGGGCAAAAGCCCCTCTTGGCTCCAACTTCTCTGTAAAAACACATGGCTGGCACCAGGAAAGGTGATGATGGACCTATTGAATGGTAGGTCCACCTGTCTCAGAAGACACAGTAGCTTTTTTTGAAATCTGTGTTTAGCCATCATTTAGCGTGAAGAGTAATCTAGTTAGTATTATATTGGACTGGTCCCGCCTGACTATATTATATCTTAGGATGGATTCACACAGTCATTTTGATTACTCTCCCTTTCTCATGTCAATATCACTTCATGGAGATAGCTATATGCTCTGGGGTCTCCAATGTGGTGCCTCTGGGCACCTTGGTACCCCCTAACTGTTATGTCCTGGACTCAATCACTCTCACGACATTCTTGTAGCAGCAAGATTTGTTTATTTGGAGGTAAAGAGATTCCAAGCATGGACAGATTCTGTGTCAGGTCGAGTCGTCGGACCCTATAAAAAAGCAGGACAGCCCCCCTATGCAAACCACCCAATCAATGTTCACAGTCAGCCCGCCAAAGCTCTAGGGCTACCCTCAGGGTCGGCCCAACACCTGCAAACTAACAGTTACATGCCAAGGTCAGGAGCTTCCCATGGCCCCTTAGAAGCTCAAGCAGACATTCACACCAGCATCCACCCCCCCCCCATCCTAGCAGAGAAGATAAATGGCATGGGAGATAAAACAGTGAAAGAAGCACGTCTAAGAAAGCAGTTAACCCCTAACGCAACAGACCAGGAGTTCGGCTGGACAGCATTCTATGGCAAACGAGGCCTGAGCTTGACACTACCACCCTTCCTGAAGCACACCAAGTGTTTTTAGATAGTGGATGGGGCCAGGTGGGGTTTATGCCCAGCAGAGCTTCTGATAGGGCTGCCAGCCTCCAGGTGGGGCCTGGGGATCTCCCACTTTTACAACTGATCTCCAGCTGATAGAGATCAGCTCCCCTGGAGAAAATGGCTACTCTAAATGGTGGACTCTATGGCATTATACCATGCTGAGGCCCCTCCCCAAAGCCCACCCTCTTCTGGATCCACCCCCAAAACCTCCAGGTATTTTCCAACCCAGACCTGGCAACCCTAGCTTCTGATTGGCCCTTGGAGATCCAATTGGCAGTGCAGATTAAGATACCATTGTTTCAGTGGCAGCTGTCACCAGTGTTGGTTTTATTCTCTCATTCCTCTTTCCTAGTATATTTTTAAAATTACTCATCTTCTCCCCTGTATTTGGACTTCAGATGTGTGGCTAGTTCTACTTTTTGTGGCTGCCATTTTGTAGTTAGCTCTGCCTCCTGCTGCAGCCATTTTTATTTACCTGTATCTGAATTCAAAGGTGCTCACAGGTTTATAAGGATGTGGGCTCCCGCTATAGCCTAGTGTGAAGTGACCAGGACATACTAGGCTAGACTATGCCCATGGATTTTCTGAAAATTAGATTTTCCAAAAGCCTACTGTGAATGCTTTATATGATACAATTCCATACAGACTTCACTCAGGTAGTTTAACACTTTCTTTCCTAGAACTCTCTAGAAAACAAGAAAGCCATAAATTTATTTTTCTCGAACTCTAATTACTTTTATTACAGAACTATACACTGAGGATCAGGTTACTTGGTCATCACAGGGATACCCCCTAAAACAAAGCACATGCTACTGCACCTGTAATGTGTTTTTATACTATTCACCACAAAACTTCCCATCACCACTCCCAGGAAAGTGGAATAGGTTTTGGAAAACTCAAAGCATGATGGGAACAAGTCACATGATGAACACCAAAATTATTGCAGGACAAAGATCATTCATTTTTGACATCACTTTTCTGACAACAATAATGTAATACAGCCCTCAGCGATAAATGTTCATTATACATGGCTCTTCAACTCTGTTTCACTAGCACTCTGTAGTAGTATGATCCTCATCACTTTTACCAATCTCAAAAAATGTTGACTGAGAAATTCTTTATAGTGGCAGAAAAACATTAATGTGACTTTAAGCGACCATCTCCAAGCCCCCATCTGGGAAATGAGCATTATAACATTCGGCTTCACAAGATTCTGGCAAGGTTGAATGAGGAAAACATTATAGAGCATCTCGAATATTACAAATTCTTCATTATTAACAACAAACGCAGAAATATACATATCCACAAGAATTACGTTTTGAACATTGCTATATTAGTCTCATGAGAGGAAGGTGATGATTAAGTATGAGTACATTTTTTTACGGAGATTTGACTTAACAATGCTCTGAAGTCATAATATTTCAAAGACGGCCCTGATTATTTTATTACACCACAACTCATTTTTAGACATCTACATGGAATTCATTTACTGCAGATAACTGAGCACAATATTGCCACTTAGCAGTGAGCTAAGGTTGAGTTCTGTTGTGTATTATAACTATCTTTTCATATCCACAAGACGATAAGGGAAGCCAAGACGGCCAGGAATAGGATGCTATCTTTAGCTTCCTAGATCTGTTTTTAAGACCTAGTATATTTGGCCCGAATTTCGGAAGTACTCAGAGCTTTAGCAACCCCCCTGTCCTACTTACCACACACAGCTCACATACGTACACTACTTAATGTCAGAATTCATAGTCACTAAATCATTTTTTTTAAGATCCTAGGGCTGCAATCCTCTGCTAGTTACTTTGGAAAAACTCCCTGTGAACTCAGCTTAATTCTAAGTAACAAAACTTAGGGACAGAATATAATCCCACAAGTATTTACTAGAAATCAAGACTCAAACTAGAAAGAACATTGGAAAGAGCCATGGGGACGTTTGGTTTTTTTGTGCTGCCCGTGCATAATTTTACAGGCCCGGTTTGTGGTGTTTTCTTTTGTTATTTACTGTATAGGAACTATAATACTAGCCTAAAGAGTGTAGACCGATGAGGCACTAAACCTGTACACATTACAATGAAAGTACATACTGTTAGCCGAATTCCTTTATTTACAGCAATTGGCAATTTATAAATGGGTTCTTGACAGTTTATACCAAGGTCCTGTTCCCACAAGGGTTACCAGAGAAGGATAACGAAGCTGTTGTTAAAATAAATGTCTTTTACTTAAAGAATATAAATCTCATACAAACAATACTGATGCACTCACACATTCAATCAAGTTCCTTAGAAATACAGTATTAAAATAAGCACAATTGCATTAGCAGGTGGGGGTGATGATGGGCAATACTTCTCTGTCTTCGCAGCTTTGGTTGTTCCAATGAAGAATGGATGGGAAGAAATGTAAACTAGGGAATTCACACATGACCAGAACCAGCCAGAATGTGTGGGTCTCTTGACTGCCAATCAATTGAGGCAAGGGTTTGGGGATAGCAAGTGGGACTTAAGAGGAGTAAAAAGCAGAAAGGGGTTGTTGCGGGGGTTGCTAGCTAGGAAGGGCCAGGTGAATGGTCCTTACCTTAGGTGGGAGGTAACTATTCCAACATGTGGACCCACCTACCTGTTAGTCCGTCCCAAAAACAATCCTATTAGTTGCCTATAGGAGTGGCCAATATTGAAAGCTAATAAACTCAAAGAAGGGCATCTGGGCAGGTGTTAAAACCTTGAAGTCAGGATGCTCCATTGTACTGTAGATGAAGCTGGCCATTCTCTTTGTGAACCAAATGTCCATTTGGCAGGAATTACCAATGCAGGAACAAAGCAGTGATGTGTCGTACGTGACCACAAATGATTCTGCAATGGGGGCTGTTCTCTGCTCAAGTTGTTGTTTCTTACTGCTCACAATAATGGAGGTGTGTGCTTCTTCACCAGGCTGGTAACTGTGTAGCTTAAACCTTATTCACATGTAAGGCTTGTGCAGGCACCTTCTATGTGCTGCATCACAACAGGTGACTTAAAGTGTACAGTTCTCTGAGCCTATGCACAGTCCATTGTGTGTAGCAATAAATATAAGTCCATAAAGCAAAATATTAAGTTCATTCTCTAATACAAATCAATGCACAGTGTACACTTGATTTTTCTTTGTATATCTATTAAGTAATTATTATGTTACTTCCAACAAAAGTACAATTGAATATGTGCTTTTAAACCCTACATTTGTCCAATTTGTACTGGTCCCCAGTTGTTTAAAGAGGATGCGTGTTGACTTTTTCTTTCAAGTGAATGTATGCATGTTCACTGTAATGTATGAGCTGGGCAAATTGTTGCATTGTAGCAGAAGGAATGGTCAGGCTGGTTAATGTAGTTGGGATTGCATTGCCATTTCCTGTTTGCAGGGCTATTTGAAACTCTCCTGCAAAGCAATCATGTTTGTATAGAAGAAATG